GGATAAACATTTTCTATTCATATATGGTATCTATAATGTCTACAAGTCTGCAGTACACTTACATTAAATGGGCTTTGTGGTTAATTCAGTACTTTAACTTTGCTTCAACATTTAATCACCAGCAAAAGCTGATTATCGCTTTGTGCCACAGAATAAAATTGGTTTTTATGGAGAGATTCTTGTACTCAGGTTACTTACTCCTGCGGTTACTCTGTAGAAGCTATTCTGTACTCGGTTGTAGCTCACAATCCAGTTTGGTCATTAGAGCCTGGTTTATTGGGAGAGGAAATGTTGATATCGTTACACTGTTGACTGTATTCCATTATTGCTTAAATGTAAGCTGTAAAATGTCTCATACCACAGTTATGATAAATCTTTCTTTGGCATCCAACTTTAAAACAAACCTGAAGCAACTGTGAAAATAACAGTGTGTATTTGTTTTAAACAGAAGACTCCTTTTTATAATTGTGTTCTATTTTTAGGATTTTGAATTAGAATATCACTGGCTTCTGCATAATTTGATAGGGCATAATAGGACTGTGCCAAAAGGACATGCAAATCATTAGTAGTTTCAGATTAGTTTGTGATCAGTTGGTATAGTATCTATTTAGAAATTAAAAGAAGAACTTGATTGTCTCCAAAATAGCAAATTAAATCTGTAGGGTATGCTCCATTTAAATAAAAAAGAAAGAAAGAAAGAAAAATAGTCAGAATCTTTCTCAAGAGTTGCAGGAAACCTCCATGAAGACTCTTGGAGGCCTTGCGTCAGAGTTGGAGAGCAGTCTCTGCACCACACAAGAGGCCAGCATTTTGCTAGGAAAAAAGTTATATGGTCTTTTTGCTCAGGCACTAAAATAATCAAATGTTAAGCAGGCCCTGCCCAGCTTGTCCTGGAATTGTGTTCCTGGTAACCCAGGCTCCTCGTAGATTGGTTTTGCTGGTAAGCAATGCATCAATATCTTGGCATACCCCAGCTGCAGAGGAAGTAAACCTCACCCCCATCTAAAGCAATGACAGCTAGAGCAGGACAGAGGAAATGTTAAGACCTTTGGGTCCATGTACTCAGTAACTGAGGAGGTGACATATTGAGAGCCAGCAGCTCCTCTGTCTCAGGAGTCACTCAGTCTCCATGGAGCTGGGATTCAAAGGCCCCTGGTTTTGGTATTTCTGGTCAATAAACTGAGGCAGCACAACAGGGTAAGGGTGCAGCATCCCTTCAAGTCCCACCTGGAGCCAAGCTGGCCACAGAGTGCTGTGCCAAGGAGAGCACGTTTCATAACGCAGGGCACGATGCTGTTTTTGATGATCTCCTCTGGTTCAGTACCCAGGAGCAACCAGTTCTTGGTGTCTGTCGCTGGAGCACTAAGATGGCAAAATCATCTAAGCAGAAATAACAATGCCATTTGCAAGCATTCAGGTGCCAGTGGGGCTGCTGGAAAAGGTGGTGGGAGGCAGTCAGACATGTTCTTCCTTGTCCCAGCTCTCCACCTCAGCAGGGGGGTCTCCCCTGCCAGCCCAGCAGTGTCTGGCATCCACTGACCTGGCAGGTGTAGGGTCAGGCAGGAGGGGTGCATGGGTACCCCGTGAATTTCTCTGCTGTTCCCTCCAGTGAAATGGTGCATTCACTCATCACTTTGAGATCTGACTCAGCTGGTCACTACCAGCCTCTCACTAGAAGTTGTTGATATCTATGGCTGTATCAATAGTATCTTTTGCTATTAGAAAATATATATAAGCACCTTTTTTTCTCATATAAAATGGGTTTATAGAGTCAATACAGCCCTTTATAACACTGAAGAAGAAAAGTTAATTTATCATGAACTAATGTGAATGATAAAATCTCATTTTTTAATTATTATTATTATTGTAATTTACAGATTGTGTTTTCTCCATTTTCATGCTGGCACTCAATACTGCTATAAGCTATTACTTAAAAAAACATCCAGTATATGTGTACCTGTTTGTAAATTAGACTTTCATATCTCTGCCAATATGTCCTAATGTACTAACATAAAACCATGTAAGCGTTGTTCTTTAGTTTATGCTTTTAAGCCAGTTGCATGTCACTACTTTTGGCGCTGCTATTTTTATGAATAATTACTGGTCTGTGAATTTCTCTTGTAGAATTATACATGATCTTTTATTTTGTCATTACTGAACTTTCTGTCATTCAAAAGACTGTGAAGTGCTCTTAATTGTGCAAACTGACATTTTGTATATAGATGAACAACAGCTAGGTTCTACTTTAATAGTTAATATCCGTCATTCTGGCTCGTAAATTAACTAAGGTATATTGTGAATTTCTGAGCAAGAAAATTGAAACTTCATTATTTTAGTAATCTAACATCTTAAATGAATTTTGTATTTCAAGGAAGCAATAAAAAGGAATATATATATTTTAATATTGAATGACTGTCCATGGTATTTTTTCCAGCTTATGTTTACACTTTTCTCACAGATTCACAACTATTACTTTGATTCTTTAATTATTGTTTCAAAACACTGCATTTTTCTGTTACTTAATCTTGAAAGATATTTCTGTAAGGAAAAAAAACCAAAACCTTTAATTCAGCACTGGCATAAAGCAACTCTTTTGAAATTATCAAGTCTGTTTTTTATCCCCAGTTCTCATCAGATGGGGAAAAAAACCTGGTACATCTGACATTCCTAGGACAGTATTAAAATTAGTATAAAGATCTGCAATCCACTAGCTATTCCTAAATGCAGCTCCTTTGCAAACCTCTGTGTAGTACAAGATGTACTACCTAGTGTAAAATATTCTGTCTTCTCAGATCATTCATTTTAAAAGGGGAAATGAATGAAATTGCTACGATATACAGCACTGCACCAGCAAAGCATAACTTGACTTTTCTAGGTATCACTGTATAGCTACTGAGTTCTACAAGTAGGTATTTAATATCAAGGTTGTACCCTAAAGACATCAGTGTTTCTTCATTCCTTCATGCAGAAATGCTTGTCAGGTATGTCTGCGAGGGTTGTTGAAGATATGTCCTAGAGAAGACAGACCTGCAGCATTTTTCTGGGTTTGATAAATGTGTGTGTAACTGTGCAATTGTTTTAACTCCAGGCTATATTAGAAGTTACTGAAGTTTATAAATTAAAAAGGTGGCATTGTTTGAGATCTTAGAAGGGCACATTTCTGAGTGAGCTTTCCATAATGGTCTGAAAGATAACTTGGCAGGGAGGAATTAATTAGATCTCTTAACATTGTATTTTATCTAATATTTTGTTTGGTACTAGGTACTTTCTTACCATTACTTGCATTGCACTGTATTTTAAAATTATTCAAGGCATTAATTTATACATGACATATGCTTAACTCATGTGAGTAGAGCTATTCTATCAGACCATAGAAAATTAAGTATTTTCCTGCCTATTGCCTAAACCAGCCTATATACCCTTGCCACATACCCTCAACATATCAGAAAAATGATCTCATTATAAAAATACCCCTTAAAGCTATGCTTATGAAAGTATTGTGATCTTTAAATTACTGTCTATGTTTATAAATAGTAATATGAAGAAACAGTTGCTGCATATATTAAAAAGAAAGTAGACAATGTCCCATTTTCATTTAAAACCAAGAAACTGTAGTGGGATCTTGATCCTCATACAAACCAGTAATGTGCCTACATAGCCTATTCTATGCATCAACCTTGCCTGGGATCTCAGGTACTGAGGTTGTGTGAGTCCATCATTCGTAACAGCAGAAATGTGCTTGTCTTCAAAACTATTTACACCAAAATAAATAATCAAAAGAAGTCTAAGCTTCAGCTTGTTCTTGCTAGAAGCCTTGCAGGATTCTATCTTTAAGGGTTTGTTAAACCGATTTTGATATGTTGGCTGGAGTTTTTTTCCCCAAAACCAGCAGCTATGAGTGCGGCAAAGTTGAATAAAAGTCTGAGTTCTGGCTACAGGGAGAGTAAAAGTCAGTAAGCAAACACCCTGTGATGACTTTTGACAGTGAGTTCTTTCCTATCAGCTCGTCTTTCCAACTACCTCTTTCTTCCAAATAGTTTGGTCTCTAGCTAATCTCCTACAGGCAGCAAGTCTTTCACTGTCTAATTTCCATCTTGTGAGCCAGTGAATCGCCTCTCTTCGCAACGTATCTTTCAGTTGCTTTCTAAAAATGAATTCTTTACAGCAGCTTCTCGCAAAAGCGGCATCGCAGGTGGCTGCAGCTGGGAGAAGTGCCGCCTCGGTGAAGCTTTGAACCTGCAAAGCGGATGGGCATTAGATGAGCTCGGGGTTGAAGCACGGGGGGCATGCCGGCGCTTCGGGATGGCTCCGCTACGGGATGCCCCCGGCCCGCGGCGGCGGCAAGAACCCGCACCCTCGCCCGCCCGACTCCCCGCCCGCTGCCCGCCGGGCTCCCGGCGCCGCTTGGGCTCCCCGCGCTCCACTCCTGCCTCCACCGGCCCCCGACAAAATCAGGGGAGAGGGAGGGCGAGGAAAGACTCCTGCCGCCCCTTCCTAAAAGCAACCCGAGCTTCCAGGGATGCTGCAGTGGTATAAGGGGACGGGACCCCGAAGAGGTTCTGGGAAGCGGTCTGGGTGTTCGGTGAGTTTGGAGGGCTTCGGCTGATGGAGAGGAGGTTTACTCTGGAAAGGCGATTGTTTGCCCGCAATCCTCAATTATGAGTATTTAAAAACAGTATTAGAGGGGCAATCTGTTCTGCAACTTCTCGGAAGAAATAATTGTTGATTTAGATAAGCACTGATCCCTTCACTGTTTGATGAAGACGTTAATTTATGGCTGTCTAGCAGTTTATGGCGGTCATTAGATTTTCAGCTTTGTCTCTGTTCGAAAAGTATCTTTATTTTTTATTTTAATCCAAGACAATTATGTAAGAAAACGGTTATGTTTGATCTAAAATACATCATTTTCCTATAGCATTTCAAATTATTCACAGATCATAGTTCTTATGTCTGCATATATGAATTTAAAAATACAGCAGTAAAGTGCTTGAAACAGACCATAAATTTGCTTCCTATTTTATTACACGTCTCTGAACCAGGTTGAGAGGACAAGGGCAACTAGGGGCTTGGGGAAAGATTTAACCCTTCCTGAGGCTGGAGAACCAACCGAACCAGAGCAAATTCCCCTCCGGAGCGCTTCGGGGATATGCGGGGGGCGGGCTGGGTGACACCGAGCTGATGGGTGACCCCGGGGAAATGAGGCTGGCTTCAGCTCTTTGCTCATTTAGCAGATGTCCCTTCTGCGATATATTTGGCTGGTAGGAGCTCCAGAGTCGGGCCGGGGGGCCGGGGCAGCCACGCCGTCTCCTGCTCCCGGCAGCGGGTCCCACCTTAGCCCCTGCCCCGGCAGGATGGCCCCGGAGCGGCGGGCACAAGAGGCTTAACCCCTGCGGCGCCTGCCTCAGCCAAGAGCAATACTCCACAGAGAACCTCTGATAGCCTCTGATAGGCTCCTTTAGTGCCGGAGCCTTCCCAGACACCGGACGGGCCCCGACGGGCAGCAGCGACCCCGCGGAGCGGGAGGGCGGCGGGGGCCGGGGCCGGCGCGGAGCCCAGAGCGACTTCCCCAAAGTTTTGTCCCGCTCCGATAAGGACCTGTTTCGCCGTTTGCTTACAGCCTCAGGATCCCTCCGGCCTGTGGGCAGTGGCGGTGCGATCACAATTACAAATGATACTGGAGAGAGTCGTACAGTCCTGGCTCGTCTATTTAACCCCCCAACAACCCCCCTCCGCCACCACCACGGAAAAAAAAAAAAAAAAAAGGTGTTAATTGCTGTAAAGTTTCCGACCACGTGGATAATTTACTTTGACTGCTGCTTTTTAATTAAAAGCAAACTTATTTATGTTTCTGATGTTTATATTACTCGATTTAATTACGTTTAGAGGCAGCGTCGCACTTTTTTCCCCCCCTTCCACCCTAAATCACATTTTCATTAAAGGTTTTAATAAGAAAACTCACTTGACCACTATTCATTATCTAGTTCCCTCCATGCACACAAGTTCACTTACCCATTCATTTATTCACTTACTCATTCCAGCAGATCCGCTGCAACTGCTGCTAGCAGGGATGTGAACACTCATAATTATTTGTCAAAGTCTGGAAAGTGTATTATCCCTTCTTCTAGTGGTAATTAGTTACCATAGCATCTAATACGTAAATGTGCCCAGAGCACACCATTAACAGTTAAGCGGAGGATTCAATTTAACACATGATTATATCTTTCATAAGTCATTACATTAGGAAAGCCAATGTCACTCATGCTGGGACAATCTCAGGCTCCGAGCCGGGGTAAGGGGGCCGGGGAAGGGAGCCGGGCTGGGCGGCGGGGGCAGAGGGAGCTCCGGGTGAGGCTGGGGTAGATCCCGGTTCGGTGGGGCGGTTGGAAACCGGGAAGAAGCTCTTTTGAAAGGGGACATGTTCATTTCTGGCTAAGTCATCTGTCAAGATTTAAGGGGGGTGGGGGAGCTTCTCTCCTCCCCTCAGCCCCGACATACACGACGCTCGCCTTGGCAAGACCTTCCCAGGGACTGGCCCAGTGGCTTCGCTTCCCAGCTATGATGCTCGGTACAGGGAGACAGGAGAGTGGAGCCAGGAGTGGCAGCACCTCTAGCTGGCACAGACCCCTCGCCCCCCTTCGAAGGAATCGAAGACGAAGTAAGGGAGCCCAAAGTCGGGCGGCAGCGGTAGCCAGGTTTTTCATTCCGCTGTCCCGTCGCTCCGAAGCAGTGACAGACGAGAGAGTGGGGAAGGGAGAAACCGTTCCATGTGCCACAAGCGGCACCGGCCGCCCTCGCTCCCCAGAGCCGGCGGGGAGCATTCCAGGCGCGGCCCGCACACTTCGGACCCTGCCCACGGGAGCCGGGAGGCAGGGCGTGGGCCTCCTCCAGCCCCTTGCCTTCCCAACAGCCCAGGTCCCGGTCGCTCCAAGAGTTTGCTGGGACCTGGCTTGTCTTCCCCCACCCCACGGCCGGGCAAAGCCAAGCAGTGCCCGCGCCTTCCAGGGGAACCTCCCCGGGAAGAAAGCCCGCTCGGTAGCCAGAGATAGTAAGCGGTAAATATTGCAGCAAATGTGTCCTGAGATGTTATGTGCACGAACACACACTCACGCGGACCCACACGCACACATCCACAGGCACAAACACACAGGCACGCACCACGCCAAGCTGGTGGCGGTGGTTAATTCCTAATCAGAATGATGGACAGCAGAGACAGAACAATACAAACTAATGGCTGTGTTGCTGATCACTTTACCCCTTGATTAAAGACACCCAATTATGGCGCAGAACAGTGTCGTAATTATGTTCCTTAATCACATCCAGGAGGTTTAATTGCCTTAACGATGTGTTTCATTAAATGAATTTAGGTATTATAGTCGACAGTTTTCATATACAGTTGTTTTCAAATTAACATAATATTAGACATCGTCATGGAAATTGTTTTAATAATCATAATTAGACGCACCCAGCCTTTGTCTAGTAAATGCTGAGAGACGCTTCTCCTTGCGCCTGGGGGCTGATCTGCCCACCCTCTCTGGGCTGCCTTCCCACAGCTCCGTGGCACTTTACAGTTATGTTTCCTGAAAAGTTACAGGTTCTGATTAATCTTTTTTGATGGGAAGTGGAGCAGAAAATATTTATCCCCTTCCCCCGCCTGTGGTGCTGCCGTTGGGAGAGGCGGCTCCGCGGACACCCGGCGCCGGCCCGGCCCGCCCGAGGGAGGGGGAACACGCAGGGCTGGGACTCCCGGCCCGGGCTCAGCGCCGGGCGGGCAGCTTTGGGGGTCTGCGCGCTCTCCCTGCCCTCGGGTTTGGGGCAGGGCGGAGGGTCCACGAGGGGAGGGGCGGATCCAAAAGTTGGGGGGTAGGGAGGAGGCGGGAGGGCGGTCCTGCAGCTTACCCCGGGGCGCATCCAGCCCCGCTGTTCGGGGCTTGAGTGGAGCCGCAGAACGGGCGCGCAGGGCCCGGCGCTGCCCCACGGCTGCCCCGCAACGCCGGGGTCTGCCCGGCACGGGCGCGGCAGAAACGCAGCGCAGGCAGGAGGAACTTGTCGCCCCCCTGCCTGGGATACCCTGAGCCGGTAGTGGGGTGCCGGGAGGGGGGGGCGGTTTTGAGGCGCATTCAGAGAAAGGCAAAGGAAAGGAAACTACCCACCCCCTCTCTCCATCTCCTTAATTCTGGAGATATATGCTTAACAAAGCACAGCATAATGAAAGCGTTTGTTCAAAATATTTTAATAAAGATTCTTTCCGACATAGATACACATACAAACGATCGTACATTGCTGTCATAATCTGATTGACCTATTTAATATATATCACTCTTTACACATCCGTGACCTGCCAACAGATCCATCATGGCTCCTATTTTGCCATCCAACCTGACAGTCCGAATTTGTATTATCTGCAAGTAGTGGAAAATAGCAGGACTCGTTTTTGAAAAGAAAAAAAAAAAGAAAAAAAAAATTTTAATTTACAAATGGCAGAGAGACAGCCACCCAGCCATGCAAACTAAACTGAAGGCTCACTTTGGGTAAATAGCTACTTCTTGCTTTTCATCTCTCATTTTTTCCTTAAAAAAAGAAAACCACCCCACCCCCCCATCCCCACGGGAAAAGAAAAGAGAAGAATTCCACGCGTTCTGTAAATCAGGCTAAAGTCTTTTAAAGTATTTTAACTTAAATAATCATCCACAGTCAGAATAATTTACATACACATTAAAAGCGATTTAAATTATACCCTTGAAAACAGCGCCTGGGAAAACACTGGCTTGGCAAGTGTTCTTGTAGCAGCTATTGCTCTGATGCCTTGTAAAAGTAAATAGCTATTACGTGTTATAAATGCAAAGAATACCCTTTCAAAAATCAGTTGGTTGAGCAATTAAGAATACACTTTTCCTCTAATTTTTGGACTGAAGCAATTTATTAAAGCTCAATTTAAATACAGGGATGATGCAACTTAAAATCCAGATGACCTTTCATAAACCTAAGCAGCTCGGATACATCAACATTTCTGGTTATACGTTGTTGGCAAATAAATGTTTTAAACACTTGGCACACAGTTGAAGTTAATCCATAAACAGAATTTTAGAAGCATTTAAAGTAACTGCACATAAGACCCGTGACCTTAACACATGATAAATATTGTTGGCGTGGAAGGGTCATTTAAAGAATAACAAATAAATAGCATGTCTTGTTTATACATCATTGCAAACTGGAAAGAAACAAGGTGCACATAAATATTTCTTTTGAAAATGCGATACTTTCAGCCACACGGAGTAGGGGTTTTGATCGGTTATTTTTTTGTCTTTTTTTTTTTTTTTAACTCTCTCAATTTTAAATCACTCTCACCAAACTTTGCGCATTTTCACAGGATCAAAGTTTAGAGACGATAAAAAATACGAAGTCTTCCATAGCAATGGTCCAGTCTCTTTGTTTCTGTAAGTCACTTAAATAATAAGTTTACATTTCAAGTTTGTTTGTTTCCTGGCTCAGAATAATATTAATAATACTGCTAATAATAATTAATTAAAAAAAAAAAATCTATGTTCAAGTGCCCTCTCTGATTTGTCCCCGGCCATAGCCCCGGCTCCCAGCCCGGCCTGCTATTTCCCGGCCGCTCCTTTGTCCGGACGCGCAGCGAACCCCCCGGCGACCCCTGGGCCGGGCCTTCCTTCCTCCCCGCGGCACCCCCGGCCCCTCGCCCCCTCCCCACCGCCGCACGCACGCTGGCTCCCGTCGCGGTCCCATCCCGGCGGCACCCGAGGAGACGAGCGAGGCGAGTCCAGGCGGAGAGCGGCGGGGGCCGGGCAGCGGTCAGTCCCTCCGCCGCCTCCGCGCTCCCCAGCCCGGGACCGGGCCGCCGGCAGTCGTCGCTCCCCGGGGCCGCGGCGGCGGTGGGGGGCGACCACGGCGGCGGCGCTTAAGGCTTCTCCGTGCACTGTTTGCAGAGGCTGGAGGAGACGCTGTTGAAAATGGCACATTTCTCCGGGCAGGAGGTGGCGGGAGGCAGCCCGGCGCTGAAGGGGTAACCGGCCGCCTGCTCGTAGGCGCCGAGGGCGGGGTGCAGCGCCGCCGCCGCTGCCGCCGCCGCCGCGGCGGAGCTGGGCAGGGAGGCGGCCGAGATGGCCTGGCCCTGGTTGAGATAAGCCACCAGGCGCCGCATCTCCTCCAGGGCCTGCGCCTGCATCAGGATGTAGTTCTTGGCCAGGAGGAGCGTGGCGATCTTGGAGAGCTTCCGCACCGAGGGGCTGTGCGCGTAGGGGATGACCGCCCGCAGCTCGTCCAGCGCGTCGTTCAGGTCGTGCATCCGCCGCCGCTCCCGCGCGTTGATGTTGAGCCGCAGCGCCTTCTGCTCCTTGGACTTCTTGCTGCCGCCGTGCCCGTGGGTGTTGGAGCAGCTGCCCTCGGCCGCCTTCAGCCCCCCGCCCCCCCCTCCGCCGCCGCCCGCCGCCGGCGAGGCGACGCGCGGGTCCCCCCCGGCGCCGCGCAGCACCAGCTCGCAGCGGCCGTCGCTGTCGTCGTCGGGGCTCTGCTCGCCGCCGCTGCTCTCGGCCACCGAGCTGCGGCTGGCGCTCTCGCCGTACTTGACGCAGACGGAGCCCGGCGGTAGCGCCAGCGGGTCGCCGCCGACGCCGGGCTGCAGCAGCGCCTCGGGCTCCGACGCCTCGTAGCAGGCGAGCGGCGAGGGCTGGCGGTCGCGGGGGTGGGAGAGGTCGAGCCCCGGGGGTGAGCGGAAGGCGGACTCCATGCGCTTGGCCGAGGCGGCGAGGCTCTTGTGGAAGAGGTCCTCTTCTGCGGGCAGCCCCAGCGCCCGCTCCATCGGCGCCCCGCTCGCCTCCGCCTCCGCCTCCTCCGCCCCCCTCAGCTCCCGGCCCGCTCCTCCAAGGCTCCGCGCCGCGGCAGGCGGCTCCCCGGCGTCCCGCTGGCAGAAATCGTCTCCCGGCTCCCGCTGGGGCTGCGCCGTGCCCGGCGCCGCGGCTGTCCCTTCTTTGGCTCCGGCGACGGCTCGGACTGCGGCTCCGGCGGCTTCGGCTGCGGCTCCGGCGGCTCCGGCTCGGGCTGTGGCTCCGGCTGTGACTCGGGCTGTGGCTGTGGCTCCGGCTCGCCCTCAGCAG